GCAGTAGAAAAGCTTGTTTGTACTAACTTAGTGGCGAAAGATAAACTGTGGTGGGCACAAATCCGATATCTTCGAAGCTGAATCTAGGCCACCGCGGCTGAACGGAGCCAACATGATCCAACGTCGTCGCTTGAAGAAATGTTCGCGTCCGCTTGTGCCACGCTGCCATTACACCGAAAACCTGTCCAACTGAGAATCCACAAAAGGGTTCATTTCAGTCATCCATGTGTAATGTCATGTGTGAAAAAAAAGATTTAGCGGTCTTTAATTTGAAAAGGCCTATTTCTATCCTATAATATACGAAGAAACGAAAGCGGTAGCTGTGGCACGGTTGCACAATGCGGGTGGAATGGTGCCTTCATGTACATGAAAAGGAGTTGCGACGTAATAATTTCTCATAGCAGTCATGTTTGGCGCCTTGGATGCCACTGTCGACTGCCACCAGTGATCCGTGAAGTGGGTAAGGGCGGTGAACGTTTCTAAAAACATACACCATTACGCGTAGAAACTGGATATTGCCAAAGTGGGATCTCGCATAACACCAGTAATATTGGAAAACAAGTCTTTCAAACAGACGAGACGATGAACCTTCCGTCGTTGCGCAATTCTTGGCTGGACGCCAGTGTTGCCCTCTTCGCTCTCTTCACGCGGCACAGCGTACGGGAAGTGCAGACTTCACTTTCTTCAAAGCAAAAAAAAAAAAAAAAGATCGGATTTTTTTTTTGCTCGCATGCCGTAACGACAAGGGACGACGACAAAATCTCTGCAATGTGTCGCCTATAAAGCTATCGCCCTAAAATAAACTCCGCCCCAATATACCGCTAGCTGTCCAAACCAGACACCAATGTTTAAGAACTAACCGTTATCTTAATCAAAAGTGTATCGATTTTTTTCAAATTCTAATCGGAAATTGGTGTTTGTACTTGGCAAGTGGCACCATTCATTTCTATTAATTGGAGAACGCCATATACTGCCATTCTCAAGCTTAAGAAACTCGCCCATGATTCTTTAATACGATTACCATTAGTTCTTAAACCTTGGCATCTCATTCAAACCGCTAATGCTACATTTGGGTGGAGAATGAGTATTCCGAGATGGAAGCTTACCGCCAAATATTAATATAGTATGTTTTTGCGTTAACAACAACCCTCAATATTTTCGTTTTCGTAGCAGGGGTAGGGAGGCATTTCGTACATATTCGGTCATGTGCAGCCTATTTATTTAGGTGTCCAGAAAACTAAGTTGTCGGGAGACAGGAAAGCAATCATCGTAAATTTGTTCTGAATTTGGGGGGACGGGGGAGGGGGGGGGACATATTTATTTTTTTAATGTCGCCGCTAAAGTTTTTAACGGAATAGACGTCGAGCGGCCTGGCATCATGTCACGTCGTGGTATAAGGCGACACAACGACTCGGCACCGTGAAGTCACTGTACCACGTGACCTAATGTGAAATGACTTGAGGTTGAGAAATCGCGATAACCAGTGATACTAAGGCGTGATGTGACTTGAGGCGACGTGGCGTGACGTCATGGTTTCGCTTGATCGTACCTCGCATGTCGTCAGGTCACGTAGCATGAATTTCCCCGCTAAAGTTAAAGGGGAGGATATTGACGTCAGTCAAGGTATGTTTTTACATGACTTTAAGAGACGTCATTTTTTTTTACTCTAGATATAGTGCGAAAATGGACTTCACGTTACCTGTGGTCACGTGAGGTGCTCCTATGACTTGACGTCACGGTCTCACGGGGCCTAATGTCACATGACGCCAGGGTACTTGACGTCAATTTTTTTTCGCTAAATGTAGCGACTAATTTGAAGACACGTTGTCAAGTCGTGGGGTCAAGTGACATGATCACGTCATCTGCCGTCAATATCTCAACTGAACTTCAAGGGAACATTTATGGCACGTTAACTGAGGTGACATGTCGTGGTCATGTGACCTAACATCAACTACCCGTCTACGTTTAGCGAGAAACTCAACGCCCCATTCTCAAGTCCGGTTGCCAGCATATGACGTAAATGTCCACTCTAAATTTTGCGGGGACATGCAAGACTGACAGACAAATACTCGGGATTAGGTTGTTCTGTTGAACATTATTCCTTGCTTTAACGAATACACATCCGGGGTTCTTTCCGTTAACGTATAATGATTCTAAAATGTTCAGTCTGGCTAATATATAAAAATGGTTAAATTCAGCAGTCTAAGCAAAATACTCTGGTTGCAACAAGGTGAGTCTTATTTTATACTTAATGGCGTGTAGTCATTTTTTGTTAATGTAATCCTTAATCTTAATTTGCTCTGTGTTTTTACAATCTAGTTTTGTATGGTTCAAAGCAGCATCAACTGTATTATAGTAAATGTATATTAAAGGGCAAATTATTTTTATTTACATTTTGGCTGTACCATATGTAGCATCAAAAGGCCATACGACAGTTTTGATGCTACTAATGTTTTGTGATCTAATCAATAAACAGAGATAAATAAACGTGCAAGTAAACGAAAGAGTGAAGGAAAATTCGTTTACAAAGTTTTGTTCAGGGGACACAAGCCTATGAAACTAATGAACAACAGCCAATACCACTAACGTTTTAGAATCGTCCTTACCATGCAAATATCTATCATAATATTTTCTGCGACAATTTACATTTTAAATAATATAATACCCTAGTTACACTAGCACTCTTAACTATCATTAAGCCAACAACAGTTGACTTAATCGCGATCGGCCGGAGTTACCCAAAGACGCTAACTGTCATTAGCCGCTAACGATCATTTAGCTCAACTGAGCTGGCCTACCTCAGTTAACCGAGGGGGGTTGGCCCCAATAGAGCTAAAGATGGCGGCGTCCGCCGCATCGCCGCCTATGGCCAGCGCCAGTGAAGCACTTACTATTACAGAGAGAGAGAGAGAGAGAAGACTTGCAAAAGAGGAAATACTAACTTGGGGGTTTCAGCCAGAGGCCCAACGGTCATTGTTAGTTAGGGGAGGGGATACCAGCTGATAGAAGAGAAAATTGTTAAATGGAGGAGGGTAGTGTTTCAGTAGTATCGTGGCAGAAATCAGTGCAAAAGAGGTATGATTCGAGGCCAGAGCTTTCTCTAGAAAGATCATGGCAAATCGCAGAAGTCAAAGCTCTGCGAGGATGGCCATGAGGATCTCGGTGCCGATAAGACTTTGTTCATGCCTCTTTTGCTATAATTCGTGTGAAACGTTCTGATTATCGTTTTGCTTTAAATGTTTATAATGAATGGAAAGTGTGCAAATAATTCATTTGCATCACTTCTTAAATTAGGTAATGTGACATCAGCTTTGGTTGGTTCCGGTTCTAACTGTGTCCCTTGACGAGCATCTCAACTGGCGTTGTTAGGCCTATGTACCATGTAACACCGACGACTTAGTTGAGCTCTATGACAGTTGGGGGATGCAAGCGGTCCGCGGTCCTTAGATTAATCACAGTTAAGAGTAACATTCTAATTAAGGTATAAGTAAGCCGGCCTTCAAAAGCAACTCCGGTCAATATTATATATATATATATATATATATATATATATATATATATATATATATATATTGAATTTGGTACTACGACTGTTTTAACTAAAGCAGTGTCTCTGAACTACAGGGTTTACATTTTTTGTTCGATATTGTCTGTAGGTTTCTAGATATCAAGGTTCAAAGTTTGCTTTCGGGTGTCTACGGCAAAGCCGAAACTATCTGCTAGAGGGATGGCACAGCTGATCATCAGCCGTACGGCCGCGACGTGACCTTGCAAGGCAGCCGGGGTACGCGGTGCAGCCAATCAATCGCTGCTTCGCCGCGACGTTACGTCACAAGGGTGCTGCGCCAGTGTTTATTGACTAAAACCTAACCCACTTGCCACCCGCTAAAGGGCAGCTGGTCGCGTCTTTAAAATCCATTTCAGTGGACCAGGCGGCTTCACTTTGACGTATCTTTCCGGCTGTGATTATATTTCGTGCCACTACAGCGATTCCAGTCATTTATTCTGGTTTCGTTTTCGACCAGAGTTGCCCATCAAGTATTTTCAGGGGTATTGTTGTGGGAACCATATAAGATGATTCGCAACACAAACAGGAAGATGCAATAAAATAATGGTCCAAAGTACAGTTGTCGTTGCAAAATATTAAAATCAGAAAGCATTGTTGTCTTTGACCGTTTGACCGTTTTCTGTCTCTTGACCGTTTTCTGTTGTTTTACAGAACTGAACTTCCAGTGCTCCACTAAATCAGTGAGCATGATGCGAGTACTGTTTTATCGCTTCCATTACACTGGATAATAATCAATCCGTCGGCAACTTCAAGCTCGTTGCCTATTAGTGCGGTTACAGAAATCACTGAGCTCCAACAGCTTCCGGAGCACAGCACGTGCTTTGAGCATTGCCAATGCAGACACGTGGCTGTAATGATCATTAACGGCGCAAGCCGCCAAAGGGGTAGCCGACAGCCTGATCCGGACGCCGTTGGGAGAAGTCAACAGTCGTTTATTTTCTCTATTATCGTCCATAAGAGTTTGGTCACGAAGCCAAAACCATCTAGAACATTTAAGGCCCTTCGGACATCCTTATCTTCCTCCAGGAAACGTGATTCCTGTCGGATGGTGCAAATGAAATAATTGATGCCAAGTCCGAGCCGAGCGTCCTCAACGGGTTGGTACGGACCAGTCACGCTGACGCATTTGTAGGGCGCAGGCTTTGATTATTCTATGGGAGCTTAACCAAGCTCGGAGCTATACCCCGTAAATTGCGTTATGAACGCCACAGCTTAAGTCTAAAGCATAAATAAAAAAATAAAAAAACGTAATTAAATTATTAATTGAAGGCAAACCCAAAGAAAAACATCATAACGCACAAGCGCCCGAAACTTCGGCCGAAAATCCGTGACCTTAAGGCCTTCCTCTTGAGAAGGTATCATGAGTGAAGGCTTTTGCACGCGACTGACTGTAAGATGTGGGCTTGGAACCGAGTGTTTGGTAAACTCCCAGTGGTGTCGTCAGGGAGCGCCTCCATCGTCGGCTGGGTCCTCTTCTCCCGGATCTACTCGACGTGGGAGGGAAGAAGCCTCCGACTGGACACCATCTTCGTGGTACCCGACTTCAGGAGACAGGGTGTCGGCACGGCACTGCTCAGAAGCGTTATTCAGGTAGGATATATCCCAACACTGTTAGGTGTTAGATATTCTTAAGTTCGCATTTCTGTCGTGTAGCAGGTCTAAAAAACCGTGATGATACAAAAAAATTGATGGGATGGATGATTTAACGAGAGACGTAATGTATACCAAAATTTAAAGTTTCTAAGCTAAATGGTGCGACCTACAGTCTGATGCAAATGGTACAGTCAATATCAACTCTGCATGAATTTGTAATATGATAGAAGACAAATGCTTGCTGCAAGTGCTCTGTTTGTCTCCACAAAGTCTCGCAAAAAAACAAAGTCGTCTTCTAAACGCCACGCAAGAACGGAGAACGAAAGCGGACTCATCCTGCTACGATCAATAGCGAAGTTCACACTTCCGGCTACCATCAGTCGTGCGAAAACTTTTTGATCCTCAACCAAATGTCGTCGCCGAAAAAACGACCGATTCGGAGCAGTCGTTCATAAACTAATTTACCAGCCCGGTCGCCGAGCGCTCTGACATGGTTTCTTTTCAGAGCCATTGGGAAGGGTCATGCTGACGCGTGACGTTTGTTGACATCTTGCATTCCGGCATTATATTATAGTGCACTACACTCTTAACCTCGCTCCGATTAGGCTCCAATCATGACCCGCACGTTTTTGCAAAAAAGTTCCACTTATTCAAGAGGAACCGTGTTGCATAAACATCTTAGTTTGTTCAGAGTTTTGTTTCAGATCAATTGGGAGGGTGGTAGAAAAAAACAGCCCTACTCATACTGACATCTAGAAAGCTGTTCCACACACCTTAAGAAGGTGGTTATAGGAAAAGTGATCTATGTATCGATATGTGGAACACCGTTTCAGATGAAGCAGGCCTTTCAGTTCCCGTAACTTTTAGTTATTTAAAAGTCATTCATGTGCACCATTTAGCATGGCATTAAACGCACTACATAAAAGAGACACAAAAACACAGTATAAGGAAAGATCTTCTGGCCACACCAAACATTCTACTGCTGTGGTATTCGATTTCGTTAAAGCAAGTGGGAAGAAATCTGCAGCTTTCACTATATCACAAAATTAGAATGATAGCAGAAATAATTTATATAGATTAGTTAGTGTTTTAGGAAACATATAAAAGGACAGACTAAATGCCAAAAACCAATTCAGCAATGACATGCTTATAAGATGTGCAATTGCTTTATATATGACAGTTCTAGAGTGTCAGGTTAAGTTCGTCACAACACAAACGATAAAAATTATGAGTACAGCTCCTCTGTTTGTTTGAAGAACTAAGTAAGCTGTAGGCGTGTTTCTTCCTGTACTAAAAAAAAAGTGAATGTGATAGCGGCCCAAAACTTGTGTGTAAAATATGTCTTTTTCCTGCAGATTATTGTTTTCTACGTGATATCAATAGCTACATTATTCTACAAGACAGGTTTAGAGGTATCTAAAACATTACGTTGCTTTCTTTTTAGTATGTTGCAACTTCCCTGAGTGAATGACAAAACATGCCAGATAAACACCATAGCGCTAGTCCATGCTTGCATTAGTGTCACACGCATTAATAGTTATTTTTCTAATATTCCTAAAAGCTCGCGTCGAGGTTCACTTACAGTTATTAAAACTTTCAGATGAAACCGCCGAGGTCCTGACGCCAAACTTGGCAATCAAATCTAGACACAATTTGCTGTAGCGCGTCTCCGCGTGCTTTAAAGGTTTCGTAAAGTGTTTCAAACACGATTCAGTTGTGAGAACTTGGGGACGCTGCAGCGTGACAATCTGCTAAAAGCATATTCCTTCAGAGCAGGATTGTAAAAAAATGGCCGATCAAAACTAGGATTAAAATTGTCAGGCCAAATAAGGGTTCGCAATTGGGCGTAAACAAATATAAGATTTAAACAGAAGATGATATTTTTTTTCATATGCCTTTTTTTTTGTGCACAAATTGTATTCTAGGGTCGACTAGCCATATTTATTCCGGTATTAACTGGGTCCAGGGCACCATGTCAGATCGTACTTGGCACTTTGACTCCGGTGATAGCTTAGCATAAATTCATCGTCGTGATTATAAGAGACAATTCGAGAGAGAACCACTAAATATGCAATGACCATATGTACTAAGTAGCTTCGACATGGCAACAAATTCACAGGAAAAGTAGGCAGTACATTTAGCTCACAAAAGTCAGGTGCGACGTTTTTGTCACGACAAGTATTTTCATTACACCGACAACGATAGTTTCTTCATAAATTGCTCGCTTCAAAACTGGCAAAAATTGTTCATCAAATATAAAGCTGTTAACAAAAAAAAACGAAAACGATACGGTTGTTTTAAATTTGCACATATTTATTATACATACGTTTTTAAGCTAAGTAAAAAGAGACGAGATGGCAGCTTTCGGGCGATATATGTATTTCCGGTTTCTCAATGTTGCGTTTTTTTTTTTTTTTTGTTTTTTTTTTTATCATACTTGCGTGATTTCGAGCGCGTAATATTGAAATTCGCTTCTGAATGCTGTGCTGTTCCGAATGTTGGAGCTTGTTACGGGCACCATACAGCGTGTCTAGGAGGTCCTAAGTTCACCGACCCGTTCAATCCAACCAAAGCAGAGATCTTAAAGTGCGGCGTTGGTACCCAAGAGTGACCTGGATCTACACGTCGTAGTATTTGACATCGCCATGAGGAGTTCAAGACATGACCGCGAGTCAAGACTCAAGACCAATTTATGCAGTTGCTCTTGACTACGGTACGAGGACTGAAGACCGCGAGTTGCCGCAGTATACGTGTTGCGTAGGTCTCGTGTGCATTGTTTCCACGCTTCACAGCGACGTCTATGTAACTAGCGGTAGTAACTTAACGTACGTTCTCACAACCTAGTCAGATGCTGCTAATATCTGCCTAATATCTTGAAACAAAGACCATTCTAGCAAATCTAGTGAGGTATGATGGTCCACCTTGACTCGGTTGAGCAGACGATATGATCACGTGCATCCGTTTCGCAGATGTGCCGCGCCGTGGGATGTCAGCGGATCGACTGCTGTCCCAGGGCGAGGAACAAGGGTCTCATCAGGCTGCTTCAGAAGCATCAGGCCAGCGACCTGAATGAGGTCGAAGGCTGGAGCTTCTACCAGCTCAACCGGGACTACATGAGGAAGCTGGAGCAACAACAATAGAAGCGTGTCTGGCAGGATATTTATAACGCAATGGAAGTGTGATGTTTGTAGTTTTAGTATGTATTGTGGGATCCAGTAGTACATGTTACAAAAGACGCAAAAAAACAAGGGCGCGTGGAAGAGCACAGACGCTGTTTATTCTCGACAGAAGATTGGAGAAAGACAACATAGATAATTTAGATTTCTCTTTTGGTCATGTATCGGTTCGGGCAATTCCCGAATAAAAAAAAAAAAAAACTCTAAAGCTATTTCAACTTCGGTTTTTTGCTGTTCATTAGTTTTATTAAAGCATATACTTATGACGTATATTGAATCTATATTAAGTTTAATTGTTGTCGGAGTGATGAGGGAAAAAAAAGTTGTCCTCCTCTAACCTGAACGAAGATCCGTGTTAAGTTTGCCTTTTGCTTTGTTCTCAGAAGCTCCATGTTGAAATGTTCTTGGCGGTTAAAAATGAGTACTTCAGCTAGAATTTAACAAATGATATGTCTTCGGCCCTCCTCCTCTCCCCGCCTTTCAGAATTGACTTGTCACTTTCCATTATAGTGCTTACAATATATAATATTAAGAAATTTTCTGCTTAAACGTCCGTTCCCATTTCATTTGTGAAGAAACAAGAGACGGGACAACCAAATATGAATATCCAAGACCATAGAATTGACGAATTAAAAGGTAAAAAGTTATTAGGACACCAGCTGTTTCTTTCTAAACATTTAATTTTTATAATGCGTTCATGTATCAAAGCCCATGAGCCACCCGAATACACTCAGCCTAACAGCAACTTCAAATAAATTTAAAAAGGAAAAGCAAAACCCTACTTATATAAAATGCGATGCAGGCAAATATCTCTAAATATTTCCTTGTACATTCTTTATCGGGCGTGTGGGCATTCAATCACTTCCGATCGATGCGAGTACCCCAAGTTAGCATTTGCAGGGAAATTGTCGAATTGCCTACATCCAACAGTGACATTGCAGTGGTTCCCTTGTCTAAACATGAATCTGAACAATTAAATTAAGTTTATTGGATTAACATAAAGTCTCCAAATAAAATATTTTAACCCCCCTACACACACACACAGACACACATAATTCTTCGCTAAGTTATGAAACACACAGGCTTCGAAAAACACAGACCCCTATGCAGACACTTGCAATGTTCACGATCAAACGCCACCAACAGGTATGTACGTCCACGAAGCGTTTAGTGCCCCAGATCTGTTTGTGCTTCTGGCTGCGCGTCCACGTCAGTAGAATCTTCCAGCAAGTGTTTTGTACGTTTTAATTCATTTCACGTTTCCTAGCATGTAAAAAAATGCTGTTAATTTTTTTACAAAGTATGATGATGCGGCTTGATCGCGGTATCACGCAACGCATTTATTTGAAGTCGAGGAGCTCCTGAATCCAGGCGAGGGATGTCTCTGATGAGATCGATCGTGCTTTCGGGAAGCACTCACTTTTAAACGCTCTCTTTAGAAACCTTTGCGCCAATAACTGTGGGGTGTGCTCATGGCAGACACAAAGACGAGAAAAAAAGATATGACATAAAAAGGCCTGCCTTTTTATGCCACATCTTTTATCAAAAATAAGTTAAGAACTATATAATGAAATGCACATGCCTAGAAAAAAGTCATGCGGTTTATTCTCATAAAGCCTGGTGAATTAAGTAAAACAAAGTCAGGCTTTTTATTGGCTTCGGTGTAGGTTTTTAAATGTGGCACAACCCGCTAGGTTCTCGCTAATCGTAAGACGCTATAATACGTGCATGTCAAACGAAATCATTACCTGACGCCGAATGACGGCAACGCGGTTAGGTGTTCGAATTATACAGGTGGTATCATACAATCAAACTGCTGCCTGTTCATTTCAATTCTTGATGATGGGTCAAACATATGTTCGACATGATTTTTGTTCGGTAGGCATCAGAAAGTAGGAGCTGTATGTTTGTTTCTTGAGGTGGTCCATGATCAAGGTTTGCATCGTGGCATTCAAGGTTGAAGTTCTCGACAGCACCCAGATGTTTTCTGAAACATCAAAAAAACAATCAAATCCCTTTTCTGAGATAAAAAATAAACATACATCAACATCTCATGCCACAGGTTTCAGGCTTTGACAATTATTTATATCGTTTTAAATTTTTTTCTGCACGCGTAGCGCGTAGACGAGCCGCCTTTTCTGAACAGCTTCGTCAGCCTTGCTGCTTTGGTACATTTTCGCAGTAGACTTTGACCGAGGCTCTTTTTTTATTTAATTCTTTAAGAAAACAACAGCCTACAAGCGCAATTTAGTGCGGCTACGGCACGTGTAGCCATAGGCTGGTAACTTCGCATCTGAGTAATAAATTTTGTTCGTTTGGTATCTATCCTTATTATACGTCATCTGACAGAATTTAAACAAGTCATACAGGCGAATAACTTATCTAAACGACTATGTTTTTGCTACCACTGACACAGAAAAGGAAACTAGCTAAATCCAACTACGTGTACATTTTTTTAAAGTTGTGCAGTGTGTTGAGGTGCAAAAACAGCCTCAAAAAGCGAAGGACAAGTAGAAGTAGAACTTCACCCCTTGTTGTACAATGTGATTCATATATTGTGTATTCAATTTTTCGGGTTCAATAGGGGAGCTGTCATATTACGCTTATGGTGTTTCTTATCGTACATGCATCTACATTATGAAAGGATGCGTTTGAATGTTCGCATCTTGTGTGGGATCACTGGGGCGAGGAATGAATAATGCGATAGTTTTTTCCGTGCATTAATATGTACTTTCTAAAATTAACTCAAAATAGCGCTGGTAACTATGCGCTAAACATGTTTTTCACGCGGCAAATCGAAATTCCGTTCTATTTAAAAATCTCATGAGCCAAATTCCACACACACACGCACACACAGACACACACACACAAAATGGTGCTTTAAGAAGCACAAAGAAAACAGGAGCAGTCACAGTGAGAATATAACAGTGCGTGTTCAAGCCAGCTAGTGATAATTAATCATAATGTAATAAATATAATGAGATGTCATTGAGCAAGAATCATTTACCTCTTCGCACGATGCCACTGATCAGATTGTTTTCGCAAGCCCAGAGCACGGCGTATGTGCTGTAGTCTGAATCAAGCACCAACATAGGAGATGAGTACTGGAAGGAGGCTGCGAAGAAAACCAGAATGTTATTTTGCTAACAGAGGAATTCCTATGTGTATTCTTCTTATACATTATTCACCGATGTTTGATTGCCCACAAGCTCGCTACCGGCTCCTATCGACGGGCCCCGGCGCGCTTCCGTTTTTTCTCTTTTGCATTTGTCTCTCATCCTTGTCTTATTTGCAGTACTTTTTACAATGTGCAAAGGGTTTTACATAGGTATTACAAGTACTCATCCGAAGGAAAATCTTGTCTGATCGTTGTGCGTTGCTGTAGAACAAAAAAAAAAAAAAAAGATACACCACCGTAATTCCACTGCGGCACTAATTACTGCGATGCCCTCGTGTTATCAACTTCCACCGATTGCGGTGAATAAAGTAGTCCATGTCTTCCAGCTTTTTGTTGTAATTCGAAAAACGTCTAAAGGAAACCTGCATTTTTAGGCAATAGTATTGATTAAATAGTTAGTGGATAAAAACATGCACTTTAGTGAGTGTGATTTCTCTCTCGCCTAGCGGCATCTTTGAGCATAAAAACTAAAAATACGAATCGGCATATTGCTTAAAAAAACGTGAGATAGATTGGGCAGGGCATAATTAAAATACGGAAAAAAGTGCAGTCAGCATATTACAAAACGGCATTAATATCCATAAGTCCCCTTACCAGTCCCAAACCGTTCGTAATTATACAAAGTTGATTTTAGGTGATGTGTTGAGGTACAGAGAAAGGGGGTGTGTTGGGAGAGATGCGAGCCTCCTTTAAGGAGCAAATCGCCACCTGGCTTTAGGAGAGGAGGAAATCGATGCAGTTTATATGGACTGAGTGTACATTTTGAAAAAAAAATCTGGTAAAAAAAAGGGGAAAAAAAAAGATTTGGTCGTTTTGATATACACGGAGAGAACAGAATGTGTCGCACGTGCATCATGCGCTTGTTATAATTTGCTATGTTTGGCCTCGGATGAATTCAGATACGCTCTACACACGAGAGACTCTCGTGGCCTCCCGCTTTATAAAAATGATTAAGACAAGTTTCAATTTAGCTTGGCGTGGCGTGTATAATGAGAATGCTTCTATAAAAAAGCTTCCATGGGTTATGTTTTATTGTAGGTGCTGTAGGGCCTCAAATTTTTAGTGCTCTTGAATTTCGAGGAGTTGCATGTGGTACTCCTATCTCAAAAATGTGACGTCATACACCTGCTGCGCTATCCTTTGTTACGTTAAGACCCGCGCCTTCATGTGAATCCGTGCGGGGAGCTACGCCTCGTCATTCTGGAGCCTGCTGCGCTCGCCAACGGTCATGAGCAAAGTAAGTATGCAGGACTAAGTATAATTCGTCGCCGATGGTCACCTGTGGGCAGTCAACTGGGTAAGTAGGGCTCATCCTCGACGGTTGCTTGATAACAAAGTTTGCTGGGCTAAGTATAGCACGCCGCCGACGGTCGTCTGCGTAGTAAACGTCCTGGGCTAAGATCACTCGTCGCAGAGTCGCACGCTACCGCAGATGACTGTCAGTGGCAAGTCATGCTTAGTCAGCTTCTTGCACTCTCTTTCACCTCCTTCTTGCCGTGCCGAGCAAAGGTGCCGGCCTGTGTATTGCGCAAGGCGGGGTTCGATTCCCAATGAAACCCTTAGTGAATCTCGATGGTTGCGATTAACGATAAGACTGTGATGGAGCAGGCCTCCGAGCTGGTGTAAATTTCCCATTTTCTTTAACCACATGATGACTGGGTGGGGAACTAGAAAGAGCAAAAATGGAAGGTACAGGTACAGAAGGACAAAAGGCGTCTTTTCTGTCCCTTCCACGTTTGGTTTTTCTAGCTCTCCAACCAGTCTCGGGTGGTTCTAGAAAATGGTGGTGATTAATTCCCTTGACTTTGATTACACGGGGTGTAAACTGAAAACTCGGGCCAAATCCCTCCTGCGGATACTACGTACCGCAGAAAAAGGAATGGTTTATGTCGTAGTTGTCTGCGCCAAGGGGCCCGTAAAGGTTCCTTTTGACAATAAGCGCCGCAATACACTGACAGAAAGTAAGAGAAAGAATACGAAGCTCTTTTGTGTTGCGTCTCTTAATGTATGTCCCTGTCTTGCGGTGCTTCTTGTCAAAAAGAATTATGTACCAACTAACCCATTTTCCACTACTGAGGCCTATTAAGGAAAATAAGTAACGTTCAGTATAATTTAGTACTTAGTTGCTATTAGTGACTCAAATTCAAATTATTATCTTTGAAGGTACGGTTTCACTAAGAAATTTGATGCGAATGATCCGAAAGTAATCCATCCCCGCATAATACGATGATACAAGGCACGCGCAACAATTTACAGCGTTCCGAATTATTGCATTAGTTGGGAGATTTTCGAGGTGGTTTCAGTTTCTTGTCAGAGCGCATCTCCGTGCCAGCATGTGAGCGCCCTGGGGCCAAAACGCGAAACCTATGTTCGCCGCCACGCATCGCGCTCAAATTGCGTCTTTACATCATGGCACCGACGACAAAAAGTAAAACCTGGCAGTCCAAGGCTTTTTTTTTTCAAGTTGAAATAGGTTCACGTGTTTTGGTTCGCATGTTAAGTTGTATTCAATACTATATATATTGTGGAGATATATTTATTGCTCTTGCAGTGTCGAATTTCTTATGCCTCTGGAACTACACGGACGTAAGGAGCTTAGTTAACTGTTTTACAGATTTTATCGTTGTTTCCTGAACTCGTGTTTTTCGAAGGGGAAATAAAATTCATTATTATTATTATTATTATTATTATTACTATTATTAACTATATTTTTATTCAGCAAACTCGCGTGCCTGATCTTCTCCCGTTGCTTCTATGGAATATAGCAATTTCTATGGAAATTGCTATATTGCACTCCCTAGATGCAAGGGTCGTGCTCACACCAAGTACGTAGGCTGGCCTGCTAATGACCGCAAAGAATCGGCGAAGTGCCTGTCCCGTCGTACAGGGTCTGCAGACGAAAATCTCGATTCGGTCTGTCGTGTGAATCAGCTATTGACGACGAGATGTTTTGGGGGCGCCACCTTGCGGGTGCTCTCCTGTGACGGCGTGGGTAAGATGCGAGCAGACGTCGCGCTATGTAATAGCACGGAGTGGATATGTTAGTTCGCATCTATGTCGATTAAAAACGGTTTATTTACTAAAAAAGCGTGTATGATGTTTTTTGTGTGTGATCCTTTTAATGAATGACAGCGCTTCGAAGTGGCGTTTTCAAATTAAAAACCTATAAAATGTTCAAAAACAAGCCTGAAGTTTCACAATACAGCTTGCGCTGGGTGCGTCAGGGCTATTCACAGCCTCTCTGATTCTTTTTTTTTCGTATCTGTGGAGGTTTTTGTGGCAAAAGGTTTTGCATTCACTAGAGCAAATGACGTGCTGTCATCTTAGCTGTGCACGTGCACAGTTGTGTTTCAAAGCGCCGCACATTTCTTTTATCTACATTGAGCTTGCCTATACCGACGCTTCTATCCAGGTGTGGTTTGACAGCGTCTGCCTAGAAAAAGCTCGCCAGCAACTGAAGCCTAGCTTGTTCCGCATCGAATACGTGGCAAAGAAGTTTGTTACATCGCAAGTTCTGCTTGAAAAATAAACATAAATTTGCATAACTTCTTAAATTGTCGGCCATTGCCCGGCAAATTCAGGTGATTGATTATTTGTTATATATAATTTTACTAAGAATTGTTTACCAATAAAATATCACTCGCTGAGAAGTGCATCGCGCAGTATACGCCATTCCTTGGGTCAGCAAAATTAATCATACAAGCGGTAGTCATTAGCAGAAAGTGTATTTTTTTTTTTTTTTCAGGGGTGGGGGGTACGCACAAGTGTTGACTTACTAGATATAACAGACCTTGATAGCGAAGGGGCCACGCTTGTTTCGCGTCGACCGAGTAAATAAGCAGAAATTTAATTGATAGAACTCCGCTTCTTCCTTCCAGCTATATTTAGGAAATGTGTGTTTACTAGTTTACAAAATTTAAAAAGGAACAAACTTGAAACTCTTAAGAGACTATCCCTCACAGAACACATTGAACCCCACAGGATACACAAAGTTTCTTTCACCAAAATGTTCACTACACACGCGAGAGTTTCTCGAACTTTGCTTTCCTATTTTCAATATGACGAGACATTCCTTTCTCAGTTTTATTTCAGTTTTATTTCGTTCGAAATATAAAAATGCACCCTGTTCACCGCGATAGATGTTGAAGTAGGGAAAAGCGCTGGATGTTCTCTGTTCACTATCAAGCTTTTTGTACCGGGTTATGGAACAGCACACTACCATCGGAGCGCTTCGACACCTCAGCGCCAAAAGCGTTTTCTAGCACGACTACGTCTGCCACCTTTTTTAAGCTTTGGTAAAATGTCCTACTACAAATACTACCTCATAAAATAAACACAACGTGTGAAACAGGCTTTACCGCGTGTTACGCAAACAGCGCATGAAGCGAGCTGACGAGCCGAGGAATCCCAGATCTTCCCGGTCTGTCCTACCCGCGGCGCTACAAACGATGATGAAGATAGCTTGAGAAGCGACCCCTTTTGTACGCGCACGCCGCCAATAACGAACAATACTTTCTTCGATTCGGCATACCCTCGTTCACCTGCAAAAGCTGTAGAAAGTTCAGCGGTTGTGCCAGCCCAAATGCGCGGACATTGGTCTCCAGAGACCCATACAATTTGGCGACCTTCTCCCACTTTTCCGAGTCGCCCAGCTCTACCGGTTCCGCTCGTCCCGAGGAGCCCTCTTCTTTCTGTCACTACGTTTGCAGCGGGGGCTTTAAATCTCAACGGGCCTCCCTGCTGGACGCTCTCAAATGGATCTCGTTCCTCACTGCCCAGGTCGGTGCCTCGAGAGACGACAACGCGCAACTCTGTCGAGAGCATAAGCATGACTGGCAGCACCAGGCAATCATGCGTTTCCAAATTCAGGCAGAAAATCCTCTGTCTCGAACCTAGCCAAGGCTGAAGGAAGCCATCTTCGTACGCTGCGTCGACCA